TTTGCAGGTATTTCTGAATCCTCTCTTTTATTATTATTTTGTCATTTTTAGCCCCTGGGGATGGAAGAGTGAAGCCATGAGAAGACTAAGGGCTAAAGTTGCAACTTTGAGATCAATAAGAGTACGCTAAGCGTACATAAGGTATGTTGAGCGTACTAGGCGCGCCCTAGTACGTTAGGCGTACTCACGTCAGACGGAAACCCTAATATTTAGGGTTTGGGTGCTATATAAACGTCCTTGTGAGCTCACAACCCTCTATCATTTCAGCCTCCGTAATTTAAAGCCGTTTTCCCCAAACCCTAACCCCTCTCTTGAGTGTGTGAGCTAAAAGTGTGTGTTTTGAGTAGTTGGAGAAGAAGGTATTGCATCAAGGAGTGGACAAGTGAGGCAAGCTTGTAGATCTGAGGTTACTTTGTGCTCTAGAAGCTCCAGGAGGTAAAAAGCTCCAACCTTTATGTTTGTATGATGTAGATCTTGCCTTATTAGCTTTATGACACCTTCTTTGTCCCAAAAAATCCCAAGTTTGAGCATGATGCGTTTTAGACGTAATAAGTTGTCCTTTCAGACCCTAAGAAGGGTTCTAAATGATAAAAATGAAGTCCCAATGGCTAAAAGTGTCCCATGCAAGTAGTAGGAAGGTCTAAATGGATTAAGACCATGTATTAAGAGCTTTTTGGACGTCCAAAGTTTTAAAATTTGAGACTTTTATGGGTCTGGGGTTCATTTAGTCAATGGATCTGGAGTTTGGGCTTAATTGCTTAAGCTATTAAGCACTTATTAGAGTTTTTTGGTAAAAGTCGCGTACACCCCGCGTAAGTTTTGTATGCCCAACGTACTGAGTTAACCACCCCGATGGTGGTCAACGCAAGGCGGAGTACGCCCAGCGTACCAGAGGAGTACGCCCAGCGTACCAGAGGAGTATGCCCAGCGTACGCCCTCTGTTGGGCTTTTGCGATTTGGGTTTCGGATTGGGCCACCTTAGGTCATTATGGGTTGGGCCTTTGCTGGACTTTCTGAATAAATGTATTTTAGGCCTAATATGGAAATGGACCTTAGGGTGAGGCCCAATTGGAAAATTGGGCCAATGATGGGCCTTGTATATGTGGACTTTTGGATCATGGATTTGGTATTGGGCCTTGGCCCAAATTAGAGAAAAGGCAAAAGGGACTATTACCTTATGTGGGACCCTTGGTCAAGATTGATACCCCAATTGTTGAATAAGCATTCGTTATTTTGGATAGTTCGGGATTTTCAGTGAGATAGCGGTCGGAGACTTTCAGTCCAGTTCAACACTACTTGTGAGGTGAGTTTACCTCACTATACTAACAGGGTCGAAGGCACTAATGCCAGCCCTTTTTGGATTGTTATCCTGGTTATCGCATGATGATATGCTTAATGATCTGTTAGATCTGTATCCTGGTATATAGGATGATGCTATGTTTAGTGACCTGTTAGGTCGGTATCTTGGTATATAGGATGATGCTATGTGACCTGTTAGGTCGGTATCCTGGTATATAGAATGATGTTATGATTAGTGATCTGTTGGAGTGGTCTGACTGTTTATACATGCTAGCATTTGTTATCTATGTGTTGATTGTATGTGTGGGGGTGGGTTGAGACAGTCCTGCTTTGTGCTGAAGGCCAACAAACCTAGGGCGACCCGGATAGACTGCAGACCCATCAGGGCGTACTAGTCAGGCCGAAGGCCCGGAGAACGGTCCAGATAGGCTGAAGGCCCGAGAGGGTGGACTAGACATGTTGAAGGTTCTGAGAGTGGGCCAGATAGACTGAAGGCCCGGTGAGGGCGGTTCAGTCATACTGTAGACTCTATATGCATGTTGTTTGTTATGATATTGTTATGGTTTGTATGGAGTTGGTATTTTGGGGGAACTCACTAAGCTTCGGGCTTACAGTTTTGGATTTTGTTTCAGGTACTTCGGATGATCGCGGGAAGGCGAAGGCTTGTTCGTGCACCTCCTCGCATTTTATGATTTTGATTTCTGGGATACTCTGATATGAAACTATTTTGAAAACATTTTGTGATAAATAATGGTTTTTGAATGCTTGAAAAGTTTTAAATTTTCATGAATTTTTATGGATGTTACAATTGTAGCATAAAGTAATCAGAATGCTTGGTCGATTGGTTAAATTTGACACAAAATTGTAAATCCAATGACTAAAGTGGAAGAAAACACAATATCAAAATCATTTTTTTTATAAATTTCATATGGTTTGTTTATGCAATGAGAAATTAAATATCATCCTAATTTTCTTCCTAATTATCTTTCTATCAAATTGAAATGATGACAAATGCTTTAAAAATATATTAATTTTATCAAAATATAACATTTGTCACCATTTTACATGAGAATAAGAAAATAAATAGAAGGATATTAGTTTATAACCCATGGAAACCACGATTACAAAATTAATTAAACTTTCATATTAAAAACTCAAAATTATTAATCAACTATTTTTAAGTAAATTATTAATTAAAAGATATTTTTTTAGTTATAAGAAATTATAATCGTTGATTTAAATAAATGCGTGACCTTATAATTTGTAATAATTTTATTTTAACTTTTATTATAATGTTAATTTAATTAGAATGAGAAATTTAAAATTTAAAATTTGAAAAGAAAAATCAATAAGTTGACAAGTAACAAGACATTAGTTAGAAACCTTTAAAAGAAAAATCAATAAGTTGACAAGTATCATGACATTAATTAGAAACCTAATAGGATGATACATTACAAAATAAATAAATAAATAAATAAATCTCCCTATTCTAATAAAAGAATAAGTTTAATCTCCTATTGACAAGTGTCATAAATTTAGAACTCCTCATTAATGTTATATATCATTTATCATGTCACTTGTCAACCTATTAATTATCAATTTCAAATTTCAATTTTTAAATTTCCACTCTAATTACATTAAATTAATAATTGATTATCCATTTTAAATTTTAAATTTTAAATTTTCTCACTCTAATTACATTAAATTAATAATTGATTCTTAATTTTAAATTTTAAATTTTAATTTTTTTCACTCTAATTATATTAAATTAATAACATTAGATTGAAAAATAAAAATAAAATTAATACATATTATAAGATGATATAATTTTACGTATTTATTTAAATCAACGATTAGAATTTTATATAACTAAAAATATATCTTAAGTAATAATTTATTTAAAATAATTAACTAATAATTTTGATTTTTTGATATGAAAGTTTAATTAATTTTTTAACCGTGGTTCTCACGGGTTATAAACTAGTAAATAAATAAAGAAAAAACATCATAAATGGTCCTTGTGGTTACCCAAAATCTGAAGTTTAGTCTCCGTGGTTTAAAAACCTCATAGATGGTCCCTGTGTTTTCAAAACTTTTGACGATTGATCCTTATTGCTAACTCCGTTAACTTTTGTCCGTTAATTGAGGGGCATTTTCGTCATTTCACACCATAGGGACCATTTATGATATTTTCAGTTATTTTTTTTTAAAAAAGAAAAAACTAAATATAATTATTTAATATATAAAATCTCTCTCTCTCTCTCTCTCTCTCTCTCTCTCTCCGGAAAACACAATCGAATCTTCATCAGATGGTGGTGTTACCGGTGTTAACGGGTGGTGGTGGTATAAAGATTCAAACCAAATTCAATACAAGTGCATGTCCTATCTCTTTTCCAGATTCATACACATCCATACAAAGATGATTTTTTTTATAAAGATTCAAACCAAATTCAAAACAAATACACACCCTCTCTCTTACGGATTCAAAAGCCAGAAATCAGGGGAAAGAAATCTCAGCACCAATCAACATGTTTGCATTAAGCAGATTAGGAGTAGAAACAAATGAATCAAAAATCAATTGGTTATCATATCTTTTGGAAGGCTTGATCGTAGTTATTCGAGAAAGGGATGATCTCAGAAGGGTTTAACCCCACACCCACCCTCACTACCATTTTCTCTCTGTTCCTCTCGTATCTTTCTCGTCTTGCAGGTCCAAATCTAGGTAAATAACCCTCTCCACCCCTACTCCCCTCTCTGCTTCGGTAATCCCCATCTCCATTTTGATTTGCCCCCATTATGAACAACCCTTTTCAAACCTCAAAAATGTATGGAACCTGGATGGGGAGACAGACACGAGGTTGTAAGAAGAAACCACAAAACGAGGCCAGAGCATCTTCATATTTAGAAATAAAAAATGAGCCTGATCGTTATTTATCGAGATCAGACTCGAAAGGGGGTGATGGACTTATGCAACAGACGAGATTTCTGTTTCGATCTTCAATGGTTGAGTTCCTTCGATGGCAGAAACAATCTTCAATAAATGAGAATTAGGGGTGATCTATCGGCTATCATCTTCAGATTCAGATGAGATCCATTGTTTTTATGCATTGCCTGAAGTTGTCGGAACCCTAACCTTCATCCTCACCGTCACTACTGACATCGTTTTCAACTAAAATCCCTAACAGGTCCTGGCGCTTAATACCTACAACGATACAAGCTCCTAGAAGGCAAAGGGATGGAATTCGAGTTTGACAATAGAGGAGTGAAACATAAGATTGGGAATGAGGATGAACGATGGAATTAGTTGAAACTGATTAAACCAGTGGAGAGAGAGAGAGAGAGAGAGAGAGAGAGAGAGAGAGAGAGAGAGAGAGAGATTATATATTAAATAATTATATTTAGTTTTTTCTTTTTTTAAAAAATAACTGAAAAGATCATAAATGGTCCCTGTGGTGTGAAATGACGAAAATGCCCCTCAATTAACGGACAAAAGTTAACGGAGTTAGCAATAATGACCAATCGTCAAAAGTTTTGAAAACACAGGGACCATCTATGAGGTTTTTAAACCACGGGGACTAAACTTCAGATTTTAGGTAACCACAGGGACCATTTCAGATGTTTTTTCATAAATAAATAAATAAAACTGTAATAAACAAATTTTATTTTTATTTAACGCGTTAATAGACATCCGCTAACAAATCATCACCTAATTGTAGAAATTCTAAACTAGTTATTCTGCCAGATCCATGAGATTGGGGAGAAAATTTCTATTGCGTTAAGAATCGAAACAAAGAATGGAGAATGGAGGGTTTAGTGCGGAAGATCTATCAACAATCGGTGGAATAGCGACCGTGTCGCTGCTGCATTCCTTCATCCCGACTCATTGGCTCCCTTTCTCCGTTGTTGGACGTGCTCAAAAATGGACCCTCTCTCGTACCCTTCTCGTCAGTACGTTTCTTTCCTTCTGTAATTTGATCAGATCTAGCAAAAGGTTTGATCTGATACTTCTACCTCTGTAACCGTGTATACAACTGTATAATTATCTCGTTAACAGTAAAATGAGGAAGGGGGGAGGGAAATTAAAAAAGGGTTTCAGCTTTATAGAAGTTTGATGTGAATGGTAAACCAATAACCACTCTGAGGGATGATTGTTTACTCTATAAGCTAGTGTGAGGGGTTAGATTTTTATTTTGTGGGAAATGTGGCTGTTGAATTAAGTTAGGGTTTACTTAATAAATAAGAAGCTAATTCATATTTAAAGTTAGAAATAAGCTTGTTTGATGCTACCTGAGAGATTTGCAACGTGGAGAGAATTTGAGAGAATGTTCCCTGTGTGTAATTGATTTATACCTTTGATATGGGTCGTACCATTTTTTAATGGATCTCAGACTAATGAGCTCTTTTTTTTGGTTTGTTTTGGGTATTTTTGATCATTTCCTCAAATGAGAAAAGATATTTGGAACCAAGGACTCTTAGATGACCTTTTTCTTTCTATAGATGATGTTATTACTATCCATGAAAAAGCTTGGAAAGATGTGATGTTGGAGGATTTTTAGGGCTATAGTTGTGCTTTAATTTAAAGAGTACATTAGATGGGATAAAGTATAAACTTTGTAATCTCATTTTGTTGTTTTTTTTTTAAACATCCTTTTGTAACATACACTTGAAAATCATATATAAATTCGATTGAATTACACATAAGAACCTTATATCAAAATCATTATGTAAGGGGACTTGACAACCAATACCTCAAAACCGTATTTCAAAATCAATATTTATACACTTAAGTAATTCAGTTTGTAATTGTTAACACTTATACAAAGTATATTTTATCCTTTACTTAAATATCAACTATATTTTCAATCACTCCTATAATCTGGTAGATTTTTTCAAAGTACAATGGCCTAATAAGAAAAAGAGGTTGAAAGAAACAAATAAATAGAAGCAGGTTGCTATTTCTTTCAAAATGGAAGTCTTTAAACTTAATATGGATCTACTAGTATGTTTTTTTTGGGGTTTTTTCAGCTGCATTTGGAGCTGTTTTGCATGTGTTCTCCACATCCCTTTTGGGAATCACTGCAATTACAATATCAAACACGATTGCTGGAGAAGAAACTGTTCATAAACTTGCATCACTTCTTCTTGTTTTTCTTGGTGGAAGCTACATAATATTGTTCATGCGTGGAAAAGGAGGTCACACACATTCACACAATCAACCAATGGAAAAAATGGCAGTTGCAGGACTTGTTCTTGTTCCTGCTTTGTCTCCTTGTGCCACTACACTTCCTGTGTTTCTTGCTGTTGGAAACTCCTCTTCCATGATGGTTCTTGCTATTATTGTCTTGCTTTTCAGGTAATTTTAGGTCATGTTTTATTTTTTCTGGATAAAAAAATGTTATTTATTTATTTATGTATTTGCAGCACTGTAACTGTGATGACCTCATTGGTGGCTTTATCATTCTATGGTGCAAGCAAGCTCAAGTTTCACTGGATGGAACGTTACGATAAGCTTCTTGTGGGATCTGTGCTCTGTTTGGTTGGAATCTTGACACTTCTCTTTCATCATCATGACCATGATCATGCCCATCACCATTCACATATACATTCACATATACATACATAAGAGCGTTTGCATTGGAAGCTGTTCTGTTCTCACTATTGTTACCGTTTTAACCCTGACGTTTTATAATATTTTCATCAAGCTTTTAGTACTATTGCAAAGCTTTTGCACCTTCAAATCTTTTATGCTGTTTGTAGTCCCTTAGTTTTCTGGCTTATTGTTTTTGTTGATTGCTATATAACTCTCATGTATCCATGTAAAAAGTTCCTTAATATCTAATAATTCTATTACAATCATGTTGCTTGGTGCTTTCAATTTGAGGATGTGTAGTGTTTGGTACATGGGCAAGGCAAAACTTTTTAGGGTTATTTTGGATGATGAGGATTAGAAGGGTATTTAGGTCTTTTGCACATATAGAGACTAAGAGCAAGTCTAGGACTAGGGTACCCCAACCAAATATGTATATTAAAATACACTAGTTGAAATATATGGCAAGTTGTAACATTAGTCCACTAATGAACCCAACAAAATATGCCGTGTAACGATCATGCACAAGAACATCTTCATAAAAAAGATTTTTTTATGGAGCTTATTAACAAATAAATAAAAATAGAACGAAAAATCTTTATATATTCATAATATGAGAACTTATTCAATTTGCTTATTTATAAGACCATTAATTTTGTTTGTCATTTTATTGTTGTTGTTTGTATAAGTTATCAATTTGAAAACTTATGTGATCTGCCACCCGATCATTGAAAAAATTATGGCAAAAGATTTATAAATCTACAAGCTGTTTGAAAAAAAAAGTTATACTATATATTAAATTGCATGGATGGATGTTTTTACCTATGTTTGCAACACTCAACTTCAACTTTCAGTAACTACATTTTTCATCTTTATTTTTTCTAGACAAAACTGCAAAAATGGTCAATGTGGTATGCATTTTTTCTGAGGTTTAGTCCAAACTTCGATTTTTTTGGATTCGTGGTCTTTTTGAGCTAGTTTTGTTGCGGATTTGATCCCTTGCTAAACTGAAATGACTGTAATACCTTGGGGTATTTATTTTCTATTTTTCTTTCATTTTTCAAATCTAATATTTATTTAAATAATTAAAAAATAAAATGACCCCATCCTCTCTCTCTCTCTCTCTCTCTCTCTCACACACACACAGATCCGAATCTCTTTCTCTGTTGTCCCCATGTCTTTTTCTTCTTCCTATAGGAACCCAAACACACACATACACACTCTAAAGCAAAACACCCAAATCGATTGGAAACAACCTCATCAAATTTATACTCAAACCGACGTGTAGCGGCTTTATTTGCTTCCACTGTGGCTTGACTTGCTGGGTTGCCAGAAAAGATTCAGCAGCCAAATTTGAGTTCTTCGACGGCTATAAAGAAATCGATAAACATGCACTTCTGTGTAATTAAAAACAATGTGTTCATCTATGTTGTGGGTATATCAACAATCATTAAGAGAAATCGAGATTGAGATAGAGGGAGGAAGGAGGCGAGGCAAGCAGGAAGCGACCATGTTGCTATTGTTTTTGGTATGGATTGATTGTGGTACAGAGGTGAAATCGATTCCTCCATCTTTTTTTTGTTCAGATTCATTTGACCCAAATTGTAGGTAGGTAACTGTCACACCCCCGAACCGGAGAAACGACGGAAACGTCTGGGGGTTGGGTGACTTCTTCTTGGAATATCATCACAGTGAATATAAATGAAACATGACAAACACCATCATCATACATTCAAAATACAACCGTCATTGTTTACATCAAGTATTGTATTATAAGTTACATGCCAACAACATAATGTATATAATAGCAAAATAAGTACAACAAAATTAACATGTTCTTGAAGTCCACCTGCTTAACGGTTTTCTGAGAATACAAGTTAATTTGAAAACATCAACATATATAATGTTGGTGAGTTCATAAGCATGTTTAAATAAACAATTTTGTATTTCTTTGTGAATGCCAGAAAATCCGATACTTTTTGAAAAATGGTTTGAAATGTTTGTGTCAGATCTTGTATTAATGCATGTGTGTTACTGTTTGAAAATGTATAAAGTGAACATTCCAGAAAATCCTATATTCTCTGTTGTAAGCAGAAGGTTTGGTATATTTGTATGTTTTCCCCAGAAAATCCGACATTTTCTGTTTATAAAGAATGTTGCGGTCTTAAAACCAAAGACCCAGTTTCAATGTATGAGTATTTATGTATCGTTAGAACCGTATGTGTATTCCGTAAATTTATAATGAAGTTATTCTCTACGTGAGTCGTTATAACCATACTTGATAATGACTGGTCCGTCTGTCATGACGTTTTACAAACGCCGACTTGTTTTAAGATAAGGTTTGTCACCATAGACTGGTCTAGTCTAATTGTAGCGAACAACTCAGGTGTGGGGTGTCACCCCCGTATAGATCTATACACAAACTCTTGCTCTCCCTCTAGGAGACTCTGGTTATAACTACAGGCTACGGTTGTACACTCGCTAGGTGCCAAACAACATGTCTCACAAGAGCCTTAACCGAATTTACGCAAATATTGAATTGCACAGTGTACGTTGTTTCTGTGGCCCAATAAGCATGCAAAAGGACAACAAAGGCCCACAAAGCATGTGATGTATCGTTATTGTTCAATTATTTACCAAAACAACATAAGAGGCCCACTTTTTGTAATATTGATATTTTTGGTCCATTAGACTAAAAATTTACAAATTAGGTATGTCTTTGGTAAAAATAGCACTTTAGGTCCCTTAAGACCAAACGTTTACATGTAAAAGTTAGTTTCAAATAAAATAGTATTTTTAACCAACTTTTGTCAAAGTTATCATTTTTGGCCCAAACTTTATGAAATTTGGCAATCTCGGCCCAATTGTACAAAAATTTATAGTTTTGGCCCAAATGTATAAAAGTTTATCTTTTCGGCCCAAATCCATAGAAATGTGCCTTTTTGACCCAATTTTTGTAAAGTTGACATTTTGGCCGAAGTGTATGAAACTTTACATTTTCGACCCAAAAGCATAGAATTTATCCTTTTTGGCCCAAGTTTGATAAAATTATCATTTTCAGCCCTTTATAACCGAAAAATAACCTTTTTGGCTCAACTTTGTTTAAAATCACACTCAAGCCCACAAAAGTCCAAAAATTTACAATATTGGCCCAAAAACCGTGAAAGCCCACTATGAGGCCCATTTGTGAAAATTTACACTTTTAGCCCCTTTTAAAATCATAAGTACCATAAAGATCCATATTTATTCAAATAAATCATTTTTGGTCCCTTCAAAACTGTAAGTTATATAATAACTTTACTTTTTGGATTTTTTTTGTCATTTTTGACCCTCTTATGTAAACTTTCTTAGTTTTAAACAACCTTGTGAGGTTTTAAACCTTTTCTTTGCATAAGAAGTTATATCAAGTGTTATGTTCTACAAATAACATCATATTGTAGTATATTTTCGAACTTATGAAGTTTACAACACATAATCACAACTTATATCATTAAAAACACATATAATCATGCATATACACATAGATCTACACAAAACAACTTGTATTCTCCCCCAAAACATAGTAAAAACCGAAAATCGGGGGTATGAACTCACTTTGGTTTGATGGTTTCGGTTTGATGAAGAGTTTGAAGGAGATTTCGGCCTTGGATGCTTCTTGAGATGAGTTTTCGGATTTATGGAGTTCTAAGAAGCATGATCATGACATAGGGTGTCTATAAGTGATAAATGATGGGTTTTGAGCATCCTAACAACCTTAAGGTGCACATACAACCCTAAATGCTTGGAACTATGTTTTCTCTATTATACATGCAAAATTGATTTCCAAAGCATTGTCCTATCTAGCATGCAATCATAGGTACTTGTACAAAAAAAACTAGATAGAATTACATACCTTTTGTTATGGTTGATTCCTTGGAGCTTTAAGATCCTAGCACCAATAATGTGAATGCCTCAAGTGGAATCACAAATCACCAAAACAACTTGGAAGACTTAGAGAGAATATGATGCACTCTAGAAATCGGTTATGCTTCTTGCCCTCACACACTAGTGCCGATTTCAAGTGCCAAGGACTCCTTTATATAGTATGGAGGATTAGGGTTACATCCATGTAAACCCTAATACCCATGACCTTTCACTAACTTAGGATCCATGGGTTAAAAGCGCCATGGACGTCCATGCAAGCTTAGCCCATCCTAAATAATCCATTGGCCCATACTATTAGAATCCATATTTAACTAGTCTTTTGATCGATAAATTAATTCCAAATTAATTCTTAATCAATACTAATTAAATAATATGATTTCATATTAATATATTATAACTTATAATATATTAATAAATCATAAACATCCTTTTCTCAAAAGTCTATCCATACAAATTGTTCCGGTGAAGTGCAACCCAAATAGACCATGCCGGGTCGGGTCAAGTACATACCAAATATAGTTATGGACTTAGACACCTTATCCAATAGTCTCCCACTCGGATAAGTCTGATAACTATAATTGCAAGTATGACTTCAGGAATCGACCAACAATCGTAGCTCTTAAAACCTTGTTGAACTATGAAGTGCCATTTTAGATAAGTGATCATATAATCCTCTATTCTCAAGATATTAGCTGAACAAATACATGGAACAACGGCGTACTTATTGTCCAACAGTTTGTTCTCGATCTCTGATTTGTTTGACATAGAATCTTAATCGAACACATCAATTAAGTTCTGACCGGGCCCGACACATAGGTCAAAACAAAATCATCGAGGGGCCCAAGATATCGCTTTTAATCCTCTAAGGACTAAAATGAACAAATAAAATTCGACTCATATGCTTGTACTAACTACTCGTTGAATCATACACAAGAGCACGTTTTATGACATCAAGTTACTGATGTGTTTTCGTACAATCAATGTATAACCAAATCATAGTCAACAACTCATATCTCTAGGTTTGAAGACTTATATGATATTACCGTCTCACGATCACTCGAGATAAATTCCATGAAGTGATACAAGTGAGCGTGGGTTTAATCAAATACTCAGACCTTATGAGTACTCATGAATGTTGCAGCAACCATTTCTATGTCTAATATAATTCAGACAAATCTACAAGCCCAATTCATGACAGTCTTGTTTCAATACCTACTTCCAAAGTATTATCGACTGTGGAGAGTTTGAATAATATAATTATTCTGGAAGTCAAAACATGCAAAATGAAACAATAGTAAATGATTGACACAAGACAGTACCATACTAGTAAATAAAAACACCTATT